TCAGAGGCTTTGCAAGGTTAACGTGTAAAATAATGACGATTCCATGAGGGTGGATATAGGATTCCTACCATAGAAACCTGATTTACCCTATCGATTTGTGTGTCTTGTAACAAAATTATTTTTATTTTCAATTCTGTCTTTTAAGATCTAAAACAGTAGATGACTCAAAGCACATTAATACTTGGCTTTAGGATATATGTTTGTATTATTAAAATATGAATAAATGCATCTTTGCAGAACTTCAACACTAAAGAAAGGAATAAGGCCATCCCATGAAAACCTGTGTGAAGAAGAGCCAAACAGCTAGCTACTCTCTGGATTCGTCCTCGTTATCTGTATGGGCAGCCCGTTCTCTCCTCAATGTATGATTTTACAGATGAGGAAACCACGAGATTAAATTGCCTAAATTCACATCACTCCTAAGTGGCATAATTGTGATTTAAACCCAAGTCTTGCTGACTTGGAAATCTGCATTCATGTGCATCATGTTGTATAACTGACTATTTTCAGAATATTACAGAGAAGTTGATAAAATGTAGATTCTAGCCTGGTACTTCCTCCAGAAGTAATGTATCCATGTCACTGGCGGAAGGGGTGAATATTTTTAACAGCCTTCCTTGGTGAGTCTAGAGTGTAATATAAATTGAAAAGCATAGCATTACACCATCTTATTTCTGTATCAGAGGGGAGATTGCATAGCAAGTTCTTATTTTTGATTTTATTTTTTGGTAGCATTTTTTTTTCTTTGAGTCATTGAACTGTTCCTTTTTAATGGTACTTTAGGTTTTTGGGGTACATGTGCAGATCATGCAGGATTGTTGTATGGGTACATACATGGCAATGTGGTTTGCTGCTTCCATCCGTCCGTCACCTATATCTGGCATTTCTCCCCATGTTATCCCTCCCCAACATCCCCGGCCACTGCTGTCCCTCCCCTATTCCCCCCAAACAGACCCCACTGTGTGATGCTCCCCTCTCTGTGTCCATGTGTTCTCATTGTTCAGCACCCGCCTACGAGTGAGAACATGCGGTGTTTGATTTTCTATTCTTGTGTCAGTTTGCTGAGAACGATGATTTCCAGATTCATCCATGTCCCTACAAAGGACATGGTTTTTATGGAAGCATAGTATTCCATGGTGTATATGTGCCACAGTTTCCTTGTCCAGTCTATCATCGATGGGCATTTGAGTTGGTTCCAGGTCTTTGCTATTGTAAACAGTGCTGCAGTGAACATACGTTTGTATGTGTCTTTATAATAGAATGATTTATAATCCTTTGGATATATATCCAGTAATGAGATTTCTGGGTCAAATGGAATTTCTATTTCTAAGTCCTTAAGGAATTGCCACTGTGTCTTCCATAATGGTTGAACTAATTTACACTCCCACCAAGAGTATAAAATTCTTATTTCTCCACATCCTCTCCAGCATCTGTTGTCTCCAGATATTTTAATGATCACCATTCTAACTGGCATTAGTTTGGTATCTCAATGTGGTTTTGATTTGCATTTCTCTAATGACCAGTGATGATGATCATTTTTTCATATGTTTGTTGGCCTCATACATGTCTTCTTTTGAAAAGTGTCCGTTCACGTCCTTCACCATTTGATAGGTGTACCTGAATGTGATGGAGAGAATGAATCCAAGCTGGAAAACACTCTTGAGGATCTTCTGGTAGTATTTAACGCTACTGACCATGCTTCTTGGGGCTCTTCTTAGCCGTCTCTGTTTTCTTGTAATGGCCCTTCACTACTGCTCTCAGTCTACTCTATGAAGGCTTCTTTCTGCCTTCAGTTTCTTGGTGTGCTGGCCATGGCCCTTTTTCTCTGATGACTCTCATTATCTTTACTTATTATAGCTTTACAAATTACTCTTTCTCCCCACATTCAGTTCTCTCTTGTGTTTCAGTACCTTGTTTTTATCATTCTTCTAAATCCACGGATGCCAGAGTATTCTTCAGGTGTTACATTTAGCGGGCCTAAAATTGAAGTCATTATCTTCTCACCCCAAACTTTCTGTCATCATTTCCCCTAGTGTAGTTAACGCTGTCACTACTCAGTCTCCTGAACCCAAAACTTCAAAATTGCCTTCCGACATTCCTTTTCCTCACTGTCTCCATTCAGTCAGTCATCAAATATTATTATTTCCATCTCAGAAATGCCATTTGAATCCATCATTCTTTTCCCTATTTGCACAGCATCTCATCATCTCTTACATGTTGGATTCCATACCGGTTTTCCTGCCATTCAGCTTTCCCTGATATCCAGTCTTCTTACCACGGTGTACCAGATATATTTTAATAATAAAGACAATTTGAAATTCTCATTTCCCTACTTTAAAATAGCCTTTGAGTCCATAATGCCTGCAATATAAGGTACAAAATGTATAAAGTTCATCCTAATAGCCCTGCCTTATCTACTCACCACAAGTCCTATTTTGTGACAAAACTGAACTTTCACTACATCTTACCTTCTCATTCTGATACATTTGTGCATGTCATTCCACGAGCATGGAATCTCGGTCCAGGTATGAGAGATTGGTCATTCTTGGCCCTGTATTTCCATGGAATTTACTTCTGTTTAACATGCTGTAGTAGAAATTCAGAGTCAGGGGGCTAAAACCAAACTGTCTGGGTTCACAGGCCCAACTCCTTAATTACTGTGTAACATTTTGTGCCTCAGTTTCCTTATCTGTGAAATTGAAATAATAATATTACCTACGTTAGATAATTGTTGAAAACAGAGTTAATTCATGTGCACTGCTTGTAATGGTGCCTGGAACATAATAAACAGAAATTAAGCATGTGCTGCTGCTTCATTAATCATGATGACAATGATGTAACAGTCTCCATGGAAGAGGGCTAAAGGAATTGCTTATTAATACTGGCATCGACCCAGAGATCCATAGCTGTGCCAAAAGAAAAGTATTTTGCCTATAGAAGCCTGGATCCAGTTTGTAGGCTAGTATGCTATAGCTACCTCATGGCATTTCTAGACTCTCGTAAATCACCCACTAGTTAAAATCCCACTAGACCTTGGATTGGTATGTGGACCTATACTTGTTCCCAGACTGGAAGTCTTGTATTATTAGTAAGGATTGTTCCAAATACAATTCTGGAGGTACATTATTTTGCTAGTTTTCTAGTTGAAGGAGTAAGCTCTGCCATGGGTGTACCTTGTGCTGTTATATTTTAGACCTAGGCAGGACTTTTAAATGTAGCAGAGGGAAGTTCCTTGTGTCAATTTCAAGCATCCTAAAGTAATTATAGCCTTATCAAGTCAGTTCTCTGCTATGATACACTGTGGACAACATAATAAGAAATACTATAATTTAAACTAAAATTTGAATGAACAGAATGTTTGTAGGCACTTTAATTTTTTTTTTTTTTTTGAGACGGAGTTTCGCTCTTGTTACCCAGGCTGGAGTGCAATGGCACGATCTCCGCTCACCGCAACCTCCACCTCCTGGGTTCAGGCAATTCTCCTGCCTCAGCCTCCTGAGTAGCTGGGATTACAGGCACGCGCCACCATGCCCAGCTAATTTTTTGTATCTTTAGTAGAGACGGGGTTTCACCATGTTGACCAGGATGGTCTCGATCTCTTGACCTCGTGATTCACCCATCTCGGCCTCCCAAAGTGCTGGGATTACAGGCCTGAGCCACCGCGCTCGGCCAGGCACTTTAATTTTTAAGAAACTGCTATAGCCCTGTTTATTTGGATGATATTTTTATTTGGATGAATGTGGTCCTGAAAAGTTCAATGTAAATTACAGAATTTCTTTACAAAGTTTACTATTTAAAGCACCTCGGCCATAAGTCGTTTTTGAATTACATCCTTGCTTATTAGTTTTTATTTATTATAATATGAATATGCAGTTTATTTGAAGTAGGACACATTTGTATTGGTTATGATACTTCCTAACTCATTGGAGAAATTTATAGCATTAATTAGAAATTTCCAGCATTAATTAGAAATTGTAGCACTAATTAGAAAAATCACAGCATTAATTAATTGTAGCACATGAAAGAAAATTTTGGAAAGTAGTATTTAATTTTTAGGGAAAGAAAAGAAGGCTTAAAATAGAAATTAAACTTGAGAGCAACAATAAGAAACAATTGCTTAGGTGAATAACATCTAAAATCGATTCTCAAAAGGGAAACTATGTGTTTGCTACTGTTTTATTTTATTTTTTAAGTTTATTGGGTTTCTGGTTCTCATCATTATAGTGAGAAATAATGTTATATAGATCCCCACCCAGGCGTCTCAGCTATACACGCAAAAGAATCAGCATAAGCATTCAGGCACACTTGAAATGAAAGGTATACATCTAATAGTAACAAATGGATCTGAAAAAGAAATATGGAAAATTAATAATAAAATTAATGACCTGAGTTTCCTTTGCACCTGAGATTTACAAGTTATTTTCCTAATGTGATGTGGTAGGAAAAGCTGGATTTTAATCAGTGGAACTAAATTTTAATGGTTGTTTGCCCACTATGCGAAGTTGGACAAATCCCTTAACTGCCGAGAGCTTTGGATTTCTCGTATGTGAAATGAATATAATACAGAGTTCCTTTGAGGATCAAAAAATAACTTACTTATAAAGCCTTTGGAAATTGTCAAGTATTGCACAGATTTCAGAGATTATAGAAAAAGAGATTTCAGAAATTACCCTGAGATCTCAGAGATTATTTTAGAAATGAAATAAGTATGACATCGATAATTGTCTTCAGTTTGTGCTTGAGGACACCAAGATGTGCAACAAGTAATGAGTAGCCAAACTGAAGCCGCACCCTGGGCTCCTGAGTCCAACTGTCATATTTTCCATGCTGGACTCCGCTGTTTCTAGGCTGGACCTGCACGTCATCCACAGGACACAGGCCTAGTAAATAATAGCCTAAACTGAATTTTGAAAACTTTAAAAAACACATAATTATTGATGTATTACTAGTAAGAACTTCTAATATAATAGGATGATATTTACATTTCATTTTTAATGCAGGTAATGAATTTGGGCATCCTGAATGGTTAGACTTCCCAAGAAAAGGAAATAATGAGAGTTACCATTATGCCAGAAGGCAGTTTCATTTAACTGATGATGACCTTCTTCGCTACAAGTTCCTAAATAATTTTGACAGGGATATGAATAGATTGGAAGAAAGATTTGGTTGGCTTTCAGCCCCACAGGTAAGCTCTTTACTCTGAATGCTACGTTTTAGTCCCCAGTGATGAACATGCTTCGAACGGCAACCAGCGGAAATCTATATGCAGATCTTTTAAACAGCACATTATTATTCAGTGTGTAGTGTCCTGTAACGTACCTGAGGTTGTCAAAACATGTCACTGAAGTCTCTCCAGTTGATAATGAAAATCTTAAACATAATGCCCTGCTTACTTTTCTGGGTTTTTTTTTCTTTTTTTGTTATTGTTTAAATTTTGTAATTTGTATTTTTATAGGTTAAAATAAATGATAAAAGTTCTGCAGGGAACCCACTTTAAAAATTGCTGTGGAAACATCTTAATAGTTTTGACCACTTTTTTTGTAAATAATTATGCTGTCATAAAGCTGCTTTGACAACATGTAGATTTCTTTATTCTTTTTTTTTTTTCCTCTTCTTTACTGGTCTCTAACTTGTCATTTCAATAGATGCCATTTTACCTGCATGCTGTTTTGTATTTTTCATGAGCCTGTCTGTCCTCTGGAATTAATGTCTCAGTTTTCACCAAGTTTTAGAAAACATAATTAACAGGTGAAAATTTTATACAGCCTTCTTTTTTCCTTGCAAAAATTATCATATAATATGTGTTCATTATAATCCATTTACTTTATGCTGGGGCTGTTGGAAATTACCGTTGATGGGTTTTTACTTTGGTGTCTATGATTTTTTTTAATGGCTGAACAAAGGTATTTATATTTCCAGTAAGATTTGCTCCATGACACAAATGCCCTAATCACGTTTATTAGTAATGCTGTTTCCAGAAGAGAGAGCAAAATGATGCTCCTTTTCAGTAAGAACAATGTTGAGTACTAAAAGGTGCACTGCTTACTCTGGGGCTTTAGTTTGCATTTCTAAATTACCAAGAGTGGTGCTGCTGATATGCATGGCAGTAAGTCCTCTCAAGGCTGGGGGCTGAGGGAGGGTGGTGGCAAAAAAGCAAAGGCTCTTCACAGCCAACTGTAAATACATGATGATGAATAAAAGAAGAGGTTTTACAGATGTAATTTCTTTTCAGACCTTATCGTTTTATTAAGAAAAAAGTATTGTAATTGACTTTAGGTTGCCATTGAATCTGACAAAGTTGGATCAAAGTGTAAAATGTTTAAGAGAACTGTAATTTCAGAAACTACATTAAAATAACAATGTTACATTAAATTTTGAAAAGTGGTTTGATGTACCTAACCACATTAAGCTGGAGATTAATATAAAAGTTCACTTATAAGTAGATCTACTATATATAACCAAACACTTGGTAGTATGTACACACACCACGGTTTTACCTGAAACCTGAGCCACAACACTATTTCTCTGTTTGTGCAATGAAGTTGTCAAGCAGCTGGTGAACTTTGCATACTCCACTAAGCAATTTTAGAGATTGTTTTTGGCTCAGAGTTGATAGCAAAATTGTAACATGTTCAGAAAAATATAGTGTTCTGAAATACGTTTTTTTGGTTTAATAAACTGACTATTGGCAAAGATGAAAAATAATGTACTTGTAGCAGCATCTACCTATTATTTAAATGTAACATGTGTGTTAATTCCTGCAGGCCTATGTGAGTGAAAAACATGAAGGTAATAAGATTATTGCCTTTGAAAGAGCAGGCCTTCTTTTCATTTTCAACTTCCATCCAAGCAAGAGCTACACTGACTACCGAGTTGGAACGGCATTGCCAGGGAAATATCCTTTTTGTTACCAGTGAATATGATGGTCCACATTCACTTCTTTATTACATCGTAGGATAAAAAAACACAAACGTTGATCTTGATGACAGAAGCTTTCATTTTCTTCATCTGAAAAACGAAGAACTTGAAATAGTTGATGGATAAGTCTTTGCTCAGCTAAGTTCCACTGAATTATTTCTAAGCTTGACTTTGGCTTTAAAAGGTGTAACTGAACATTTCTTAAATAATATTTTAATCCAGTAAGCGATATAGGAGACAACTGTAGTTTTACTTTATGAAAATATTTTGTAAGTTACCCCTGAAACCAGTTAGCTTTTCTCTTCCCCACTCAGTGGGAGAGAGCAAACAGTAGTTGTAATGATAGCTTCCTTCCTTTTTCTGTTTCTTCTCCTAAAACTCAAGACACAGCATGTTTTTCTAATCCTGAATTGGTAAGAAGGCAAGGCAGGGGAGGTGTGAGCAATAGAAATAACCAGAGAGAATGTTTTTGATGCTCTCTATGTCTTTGTTTACTCCTTCTTTCATGCATTTTACAGATATTAACTGAATACCTATTTACCGAACACCTCTGTGCCAGCTCTGAGCTGATTTCTGTAAATACACGAATTTTTCTAGCAAATTCAGTCACTGCCCTAAGAGCTTTTAAACTGATAAAGAAGATAAATATTAGTCATCATAAGTTGGATAATTATTACAAAGGAGTTGTACAGTCTATTTTAAAGATATGTTACTAGATCCATGAAAAAAATGACAGAATCAGGACCTAGCAACAAATCAGCACAATTTTCAAGCAGGCAGTAGAAATAATGTGCTTGTCCCCTGAAGCCCTAACAATGATTAGCATCTGCCACCTGAGCAAGATGCCTGATGCCAACATGAAGTCCTGTGTGTCAGGGTGTTTCCAGCTACAATGAAGAACCATTTCCCACAAATAATAAGGAAATGTATAATATATTTGTCACATAATAAAAATCCTGGCTCAAATAATAAGGAAAATGTATTTGTCACATAATAAAAATCCTAAAGTCTAGTTTTCCCAGCACTGTGGTGGTATCAAGTTTCCCAGTTCATTGTTTTTGCCTTTCAATTGTCAGGGTGCCAGCAATGTCCAAACGGTGGCATCTGTTAATAATCATTAGTTAAGAGCCATGACTCCAAGTGTCACCCACTTTCAGACACAACAAAATGCAGACAATTTTTGTGTATCTCTTCTAGAATTAAGTTACTTCTCTAGCAAAATTTCCTTCCTATTTTATTGACCAGAATTGGGTCTCACATCTCTCAGAAAAATTTTCTAGGAAGAAGAATGATATTACCATGAGTGGCTTAATCAGGAATTACCCCTGAGTCTCAGGAAGGCAGTCCTTGATGAAGTGGACACCCAAACGGACTCTTACTCTGACAGCAAGAAGAGAAGAGCCCGTGCTTTTTAGTAAGTACCCTGCAGCATCTGTCACCACCTGGTGCTGCTCAGTGACATTGAGGGAGAGAGAGATAGTTCCCTTTCTTCTCACCCAGCCAATTCCCGTTCCACATAACATCAGAGCCTCTAGGAGAGGAGGCTGTAATTGTGACTGATAGTACAAATATGCCCCAGTTAACCCACAGAATGCTCTATGTTTTCCGTCTCTCTATGCCTACAAATAAATCAATGTGATGGGTTATCTACACCAAAGAAGTTCAGTACTATTCTGGGAAACAAATGTCGTCTTCATTTCCATGAAAAAAAAAATCCAAATACTAAAGGTGTAGGCATTTGTACATTATCCTTCCCAGCTCGAGGGCTAAAGTAATGCTCCTATACTAAACACTTCTATAATTGATAATGTAGTATAATCAAACCAAAATACCTTTACAGAATACATGGTATCTATGGCAGTCTTTGTTGTATCTTTGCCAGCACTGTCCTTGACCCTTAAATGAAGGCAAAGAGATGTATAAAACCCAAACTGTGATGTAAGTCTTAATGCAGTAAATGGAAAGGGAACAAGGAGCAAGAATAGTCCATGGGAGAACGAAGGACAAGGAAAAGGACAAAATAAATGACAGGGGAGCAGGGGAGAGATACTGAAATTAAGACAAAGACTTTTAAGCCTAGTCTTGGGAAATGGACAAGATTATAGCAGGAAAAAAAATGGAGAAAGCCATTTCAGCTGTTGAAAATCCTAGACTCTTCTTAGATAATGGATAGTACAATGGATTAATTGGAGAATCATGACCGTAGAAAGAATTATTAAGAGATAAAGCTGAAAACATAGATGGAGATCACATAATAGAAGATTTTAATGCTGTATTAATTAGTCTTTTTTCTATGATTTTATAGTGAGTTGCTGCAGGTTTTTGACTACAGAGCTACTTGATAAGATTGTAGGCTTTAGTAAAAGTTCTCATGTACCAGTGTGTAAGGGAGCTTTCATGAGGAAAGCGATCGGAAGTATAGATATTAATTATGAGAAATTGCAGTACCCCTAAAAGATAATTAGGGCATGAACTAAAGTAATGGCAATAGAATAGAAAAAAGTACCTGAAGCCCTTTCTTGTTGTGAAGGATCTCAGAATCTGTTTGGACACGGAGTATAGAAGGGAAAAATGTAAGGTTTCACTTTGAACAATAGCAGGAATGCTGGTGGTAGTATTCCTGAGGAGAGCAAAGCCAGAAGAAGTAACCAGTCAGGGGAGTAGAAAATATAAATTTGAGCAAGATGGTTGAATAGGAGTCTCCAGCAGTTGTCCTCCTTATAGGAACACCAAATTGAACTATCCATACTAGAAAGTACCTTCATAAGAACCAAAAATCAGGTCAGCAATCACAGTACCTCATGGTACCATTATTACAGGCAAAGAGGCGCAGAAGAGAGTAGGAAAGGCAGTCTTCAATTTCCTGTAGCAATCCCCCAGCACTCCTTGGCAGTACCACGTGGAACATGGAAAAACAGAATCCGTGTTTGGCAGGGAGGGAAAACACAGTGCTTGTGGGACTTTGCAATGGGACTCATTGCTGCCCTGTCACAGCAGAAGGCAACATGCGCAGAATTCAGCCAGCACCTACAAAGAGAGCATTTAGACCAGCCCTAGCCAGAGGGGTATTGTCTGTCCCACCATTTGGAACCTGAGTTTCAGCTGGACCCACTGCTGTAGGCTAAAGTACCCTGGGGTTCCAGATAAATTTGAAAAGCAGTCTAGGCCACAGAACTGCAATCCCTGAGCAAATCCTGATATTGTACTGGGCTTAGAGCTAGTGGACGTGGGGTACACAAGAAAGGAGATGGAAGAGTAAAGATGATTTTTTCTTATAATTTGGATACCAGCTCAGCCACAGTAAAATAAAACACCAAGCAGAGACCTGAATCCCCTATTTCAGGCTGCAGCCCTCATAAGACATCTCTAGACCCACCCTAGGCCTTAAGATAACATGATTCCCTGAAGAGAAGGACTCAGTCCTGGCGGAATTCTTTACCTAATGACTGAGGAACCCTTGGACCTTGAGTAAACATCAACAGTAGCCAAGTAGCATTTGCCATAGGCCTTTGGGGAGACCCAGTACCATGTCAGCTTCAGCTGTAACTCAGCATGTTCCCAGACATGGTGGCCATGAGAAGAGACTCCTTCTGCCTGAGGAAAAGAGAGGGAAGAATAAAAATGACTTTATCTTGCAACTTGGGGAACAGCTCAGCCTCAGTGAAATAAAGCATGAAGCAGACACCTAAAGCCTCCAGTTTTGGGCCTTAGCTCCTAGATGGCATTTCTCAACCTTCCCTGAGCCAGAAGGGAACCCACTGCCCTGAAAGGAGAGACCTAGGTCTGGCACAATTCACCGACTACTGACTAATGCGCCCTTGGGCCTTGAATAAACATGAGCAGTAGCCAGGCAGTGGTCACCATGGCCTTGGGGTGGTGGTGGCTGTGGAGAGAGGCTCCTTCTGCCTCAGGAAAGGAAAGAGAAAACTGAGAAGGGCATTGCCTGCAATGCGAATGCCACCTCAGCCGCTGGGAAGGCTGCGATAAGTGATTATGCAATGACCAGACACTGGCAAGTATCCACAAACATCAAGACCATCAAGGCAATTGTGACCTCCAAAACAAACTAAATAAATCACCAGTAACCAGTCCTGAAGTGACAGAGATATGTGACCTTTCAGACAAAAAAAAAAATTAAAAGCTGTTTTGAGGAAGCTCGAGGAAATGCAGTTTAACAGAGAAGGAATTCAGAATGCTATCAGATAAATTTGACAAAGAAATTAAAATACTTTTGAAAAATCAAGCAGAAATTCTGGGACTGAAAAATTCAGTTGACAAATTGAAGAATGCATCAGATTCTGTCAACAGCAGAATTGATCAAGCAGAAGAATTAGTGAGCTTGAAGACAAGGTATTTGAAAATGCATAGAAAAGACAAAAAACAAAAACAAAACAATGAAACATGCCTACAGGATCTAGAAAATAGCCTCAAAAAAGCAAATCTGAAAGTTATTGGCCTTAAAGAGTATGCAGAAAGACAGGGATTGATTCAGGCAGAAATTTTATTCAAACAGATAGTACTGAAGATATCTCTTTCCATGCCCAGAGAAATATATCAATGCTCAAGGACAAGAAGGTTATAGAACACAGTGCAGATTTTACCCAAATAATACTTGCTCAAGACATTTAAAAATCAATTTCCCAAAGGTCAAGGATAAAGATAGGACCCTAAAAGCACCAAAAGAAAATAAACAAATAACATATAGGAGTTCCAGTACATCTAGCAACATACTTACCAGTGGAAACCTTGCAGGCCAGGAGAGAGTTACATGGCATACTTCAAGTGCTGAAGTAGAAATACTTTTATCCTAGAATATTATACCCAGCAAAAATAACCTTCAAATATGAAGGAGAAATTAAGACTTTCTCAGACAAACAAAAGCTGAGGGATTTTGTTAACACTAAACCTGACCCACAAGAAATGCTAAACTTCAGTCTTAAAGAAAATGATGTTAATGAGCAATAAAAAAAAATCACC